AGAATGGGAGAAGATATTTGCAAATGACATATCAGATAAAGGGCTAGTATCCAAAATCTGTAAAGAACTTCTCAAACTCAACACCCAAAGAACAAATAATCCAATTAAGAAACGGGCAGAAGATATGAACAGACATTTCTGCAAAGAAGATGTCCAGGTCACCAACAGACACATGAAAAAGTGCTCAACATCACTTCACATCAGGGAAATCCAAATCAAAACCTAAATGAGATACCACCTCACACCAGTCAGAATGGCTAAAATTAACAAGTCAAGAAACGACAGATGTTGGCAGGTATGTGGAGAAAGGGGAACCTCCTACACTGTTGATGGGAATGCAAGCTCGGGCAGCCACTCTGGAAAACAGTATGGAGGTTCCTCAAAAAGCTGAAAATAGAGCTACCCTACTACCCAGCAATTTCACTACTGGGTATTTACCCCAAAGATACAAATGTAGTGATCTGAAGGGGCACGTGCACCCCAATGTTTATAGCAGCAATGTCCACAATAGCCAAACTATGGAAAGAGCCTAGATGTCCATCAACAGATGAATGGGTAAAGAAGATGTGGTATATATATATGTGTGTGTGTATATATATATACACACAAACACAATGGAATATTATGCAGCCATCAAAAAGAGGAAGTCTTGCCTTTTGTAACTACATGGATGGAACTAGAAATAAGCAAAATAAGTCAGTCAGAGAAAGACAAGTATCATATGATCTCACTGATATGAGGAATTTTAGAAACAAGACAGAGGATTGTAGGGGAAAAGAGAGAAAAATGAAACAAGACGAAACCAGAGAGGGAGACAAACCATAAGAGACTCTTAACCTCAGGAAACAAACAGCGTTGCTGGAGTGGTGGGGGGTGGGAGGGATGGGGTGGCTGAGTGATGGACATTGAGGAGGGTATGTGCTATGGTGAGCGCTGTGGATTGTGTAAGACTGATGAATCACAGACCTGTACCCGTGAAACAAATAATACATTAGATGTTAGTTAAAAAAAAAAAAAATTAAATGCTCTTTTACCTACTAACATAAGAAATTTTAAAAATATTTAAAATGCATCTTTTCATTCTTAAATTTTTTTTTGCTTTATTCAGACTGAAAACAAAAGACATGCTTTCTTTTATCATTTTAAAAGGATTTCTGGGGCACCCTGCTGCCTCATTTGGTGGAGCACACAACTCTTGGTCTCAGGGTTGTGAGTTCAAGTCCCACACTGAGGGTAGAGATTACTTAAAAATAAAATCTTTAGGGCACCTGGGTGGCTCCCACTCCCCCGCTTGTGTTCCCTCTCTCGCTGTGTCTCTCTCTGTCAAATAAATAAGATATTTTAAAAAAAAGAAAAAAAATCTTTAAAAAATAAAAAGTAGGGGCATCTGGGTGGCTCCAGCAGTTGGGCATCCAACTCTTGGTTTTGGCTCAGGTCATGATCTTGGGTTCATGAGATCAAGCCATGTGGGGGCTCCACACTGAGCAGGGAGTCTGCTTTTCTTCTTCTGCCCCTCCCCCCACTTGTGTGCTCTCTCACTCTCTCTAAAATAAATGGATAAATCTTTTAATAAAAATAGAAAATAAATAAAAGGACCTCAATTTTTAAAAAAAATATTTGAGGGAGAAAGATCATGAGCTGGGGGGAGGGGCAGAGGGAGAAGCGGGCTCCCCACTGAGCAGGGAGGCTGTAGCTGGGCCACATCCCAGATCCCTGGGAACATGACCTGAGCTGAAGGCACATGCTTAACCCACTGAGCTACCCAGGTACCCCAGAGCTGCTCAATTTTTTAACTCTGTGATCTGATGAAAACATTTGACAAACACTTCTATAAAACTGGATTACCTCAGTAGTGTATGAACCAGTCTTTAAAATCTTTAAATTTTATAAATGATTCATATTGAGTCCTGAAATTTGTAATTATTATGAAGTAATGATAAATGAATGATTTTGACAGCCAATAGGTCTTCAGCTGCTTATGATTCATTCTTTTGATGACCATTTTTAAAAATTTATTTTTTAGAGAGAGAAAAGCACACATGTGAGCAGGGGATGCAGTAGGGAAAGGGGCAGAGGGAGAGAGAGAGAATCTTAAGCAGCCTCCATGCCCAGCATGGAGCTCCACACAGGGCTGATCTCACAACCATGAGATCACAACCTGAGCCGAAAGCAAGAGTCAGACGCTCAACCAATTGAGCCATGCAGGCACCTCTGATGACTATTTTTTTTTAAAGATTTTATTTATTTATTTGAGAGAGAAAGAGCACAAGAGGGGGGAGGTTCAGAGGGAGAAGGAGACTCCCTGCTGAGCAGGGAGCCCGATGCGGGACTTGATCCTGGGACTACAAGATCATGATCTGAGCTGAAGGCAGTCACTTAACCAACTGAGCCACCTACGTGCCCCTCCAGTGACTATTTTAAAAAGGAATGGCCTGCTATATCTTTTTTAATTTTAGCAATATTAAAGTAAAATTTAATATATATTAAAGTTATAAATTATATTCAGTTACATTTTCTTTGAGCTTTGTTATCCTAAATTACTTTTTTACAAAGAGGTGTATGTAAGTGTGTTTTCTTATCTCTGATGCTCCCACTGTTGTCTTTCAAGATAAGCACAATGATGGAGAGACCACTGCCTGCCTGCAATACGCAGTGTAGCGCGGTTCACATACATTTTACTTCTCAAAAGCTGGGTCTTGGGCTTAGGGGTAAGGAGAGAATTTGCTTTATCTGGAATATAGGTTACAAATGTTATGAAGATGTTACTGGAATATTTAAATAGATGTAGCTTTTATGAAATAGCATCTTCACAGCCTCAAGCCCTAATGAAAAGTAATTAAGACATTTACAGGTAGTTGTTCAGCTGTTGACTGGGCTATCTAGAAAGAAGCTGTCGGCACATACTGTCATCATTGCTTGACAATTCATTCACCTTTTTTTTTAGGTTACACTAATTTCTCCTCTAATTTCATATGCTCCCTCTTTCAACCCTAGTCTTTCAGTAAAATTTGAGTTTGTTGTACTACTAATTATAACCAGCCTTATAGACTCCCTGGGACAATGCCGTATTTCTTCTATTCTTGTTCCTCCTCTGCCAAAACCCACCTCATGATCCAAAATTCATTTGAATGTGGAAAGTAGCCATACTTCGCAGGTAGCTCTGTATCAGTCAGCTCTATTTAACCTTAGCTTCTGTCCCTTTGCAAAGAATAAGACCTTAATTCTGAATTTAATGAGATGGGTTTCTCCCTTTCTGGTCAACCATGTGAATAAGTCTACTTTTTGAAATTACTGTAAAATCATCAAAAGTTGGTTGTTACTTTTTCAGTTGTTGGTTTCTAATCATTTTACGTAATGAGGCATTTTCATGACAGTTCTTAGTTTTCTGGTTCAAAATAAACTCTTGTGTGTTAGGTACACTCCCTGCAGTTACAGAGGAATGGAAGAGAGACTACCTCACGGCAGCATGTCACGACTGACGGATCACTCGAGGCACAGTAGCTCTCATCGGCTCAATGAACAGTCCCGACATAGCAGCATCAGAGACCTCAGTAATAATCCCATGACTCACATCACCCACGGTACCAGCATGAATCGGGTTATTGAAGAAGATGGAACCAGTGCTTAAATTGTCCGAAGGTGGAAAACTTGCGCTATTTAAAAAGCAGATTTTATTCTTTGCCTTTGCATGACTGATTGCTGTAACTCACTGTTATCATGCTTTCAGTCAGGTGCAGATTGTGTCCATTGGAAAAGTAAACTTTTGCTTTTTATATTGCATCAAACTTGGAACATCAAGGCATCAAAAATGCTAATAATTATATCATCACATAAATAATTCTTATTTCTAGGTTATGAAGAGATAATTATTTGTCTGGTAAGCATTTTTATAAACCCACTTATTTTATATTTAGAAAAACCCTAAATGTGTGGTGACTGCTTTGTAGTGAACTTTCATATAATATCAACTAGTTGTGAAATAACATTCTGGTAGTTGTATTAATAAAACAAAATTTCAGAATTAAGGAAATTTTCTATGCAAGGCTTATTTCTCAAATGAATAGTTGGACTTTGTAGTTTTCTTTCCACTAAGTGAAGAAGAACTATGTTTTTAAACTGTCGGAGAATTTGATAAATCAGCAAGGGTATTTTAGCTAATAGGATATAAGATCAGTGGAAGAATCTGAATAGTCTACTGAATGCTCTTTAAAAATTCTGTCAAAATAATCTTCATCCAGAGACATACAGGATTAGGTTTCACGATGGAATAAAAGGCGGAGATGGACATTTTTTCTCTATAATTGTGCTCTTTATTACTTTTGTAAATATTACTTTTACTGGCTATGTTTTTATAACTTAACCATATGCATGGTGGAAGTTTAATTTGTAGTCATCTTTTCCCATATAGTAGTATTGATTCACAGAGAACTTCATGTTCAGATCTGTTCCATGGAGGCATGTAATAAGATAAACATCACACATTATAAACATTTTTGTGGGAATCACGATTACAAAATGGCAAAATGTTTTCTCTATATTCTTTGTTGTATTTTTCCACAGTGAGATGTGATCTTGCCAAAGCCACCAGATTTTGGTACCCAGGCCCCTCCTATCAGTGACTTGATTGTCTGCATTTGCATTGCCCAGTAGCCATTAGGCTACAGCTTTTTGCCCCACGTTCTTGTTTTCAGATTCTGGGTTGTTTTTTTTTTTTTACAGTTGAAATATATATAACCTAAGTCCAAAGTGGTGATTGAGGTATTTGAAAATCATTGTAACTAAATGAAGCATGATTAGTCTTGCTGTGAAGTATAATATTTTAGTCTTACCAATATGAATTCAAAAATGTTTGACATTTTGTCATGTACTGTTTAAACAATTTACAATAAAAACTACAAACTTTATTAGGCATGAAATTGCTTAGAAGGGAAAGAAAAATTGTGGAAAATGCTGGATGTGTTTTATAGAAAAGCGTATTTAAACAAGTGGTCCTCAGCCCTGACTATAGATAAGAATCACTTGCAGAACCTCTGATGCTCAACACCTTCCTCTTATTCAGAGGAGAATTAGTAGTTTTTTTTAAAAAGCTTTCTAGGTGATTCTAATCTGCAGCCAGGCTGCAGGCTGTTTCAAATATGATAATAAGTTGATGGCATCATATTATATCACATAAATATCTAGCTGGACTCAGTGTTGTGCTTTTGTATCATTACCTGATATACATCTGTTCTTCATTTTATTGTCCATTATAAATGTGGAATTTGGGGCCCCACCCCTAAAGATTCATATTCAGTAAGTAAAGTCAAATTTTAAAGTCTGTAGTTCTAAAAATACTACAGGTGATTCTTAATGCAGGTAATCCAAGAATCACACTTTGGAAAATATTCCAAGACTCTAGAGAGGCCTGGCTTTGTCATATGCCAGTTTTGTCACCTTTAACAAGTAAACTTCTCTGAGCCTCAGTTCCCTTGTTTATAAATGAAGATAGAAAATAAGTACCTACCTCACAAAGTTGTCAAATGGGGATCACATGAAAAATATGAAAGCTTTCTGAAAACTGTAAAGCATCATGAAATATAAGGGATTAAGATTATTAAGGATTTAAGAGATTTGTTTGAGGGCTACTATAGTACATTCCTTGACATGTGTTTAATTCATGTGTACTTTTTTCTCTCCTTTAAAATAAAAAATACCAAGAAATTAGGTTTTGAAAAAAAGGCTTTCATCAAGTACAAAAATCAGTTTTCTGGTAATTTGTATATCATGTTTTTTCAAAATACATATATCTTATTGTTTATGATTTGCTCTTTATAGAAAATATTTGAACATTTAGCCCCAAAGCATTTTTCTTTTTCCTCTGTCTTCATCGTCTTTCTCCTTGGAACTGGAGTTAGTACTAGATAGGCAGAATCTAAATTCCCTCATAACTGACAATTAGTAAACCTTTCCTCTGAAGGCCAAATTTATAACAACTCATTTATACAGTAACTTAGTAATTCATAAGGCTTTTTTTCTGAGAATCTCCCCTGAGAACAGCATGAGAGGACCAAAACAAACATTCAGAAACAAAAATAAGTTAAAATAGAAGGTACCAGTTTGAGCTCAAAGATGTTGTCATCCATCGCCATCTGCATTATATTATCAATTGCCAAAATGTTAATTGATTTTCTTGTACAAGTAGGCCAAGTGTAGACAGTTATGAAAATCTTAACTTTGTGCTCCCTGTTTTTTATATATGCATTTTATCTTCTTTGTTAAACTCACTGTCAGCATATATGTAAATGCTATGTTGATATTTCAGTTACTTTAAGTATCTTAATTTTGCTCCACAAAATTTATCTAATATCATCAGTGCATTGTTTTAGATAACAGTATTTAGTTTGGGTCATGTTATTCATCAAACTGGTGCTTTAAATTAAGAATTTTTTTTAAGAAACAGCTAAAGAACTATGGCAAACCGGCAATTTCAAAGTCTCAGTTCCCTTAAACCAACTTGAACAAGTTGGGACAGCTTTCTTACCATCTGTTTGACTTTAATTTGTGTTTTGATTGGCATGTGATAATGTGTAGTATTTTATTTATACAGCTGACAACTGAGAAAATAATAGTTCTCTCTAAAATGTTAATAATCAAGAGGCTTTCAAAAAGTACTTCGATTTCACCAATACTGTTTAATTTGTTCAATAATTAAAGCAAAAGATAATATTAAGCTCAAAACAATAATTGGTTTCAAAGAATTATTGATTAATAACTACAAAGTGCTTAGTATATGGTAGGTTTTTCAATATTTATGAATGAACAACACATGTCATAAAACTCACTTTTAGCCTTAGTAGTGAGATTCTCACCTCAAAGGAATTTGAAGGATCTAAATTTAAATTGAGTGAAATGAAGTCTCTCCTTTACCAGAATAACATGTGGCAAGTAATAAATACGTAACTTGCACAAGAAATAATACACAAACTTGTACCAACACTTTATTAATTTTAAAAGGTGAATAGCAATTCTTAGAAGTATTTAAGCTCTTGTTGGTTTTATGTTAAGTTAGATCTTTGTATACCAGTTGGGTAAATGAACATTCAAGCAAACCTTTATTAGTAATGATTTTCAGCTTCTTAGAGCAGATGTATGAAAATTCTAAGAATCTCTTTAATTTAGAAAAAATTTACTACATTTTAGCCTACCTCATTAGTTTCTTTGTGATAAAAGCTGGATATAACAAGTTGTAACTATCTTGGTTGAGGCTATATCCCTGTGATATAAAAGGAACCACTTAAAAAAAATTTTTAGTGGCTCATTGGCCAGAGCTTAGAAAACAGTAACATACCAAAATTTAATTATGATGATCTTTATACTGCTTTTGACATGCCAAAGCTATATTTACATATTATCACTTGGATGACTTACATAGTCTAGTGCAGTGAAAATTCCATTAGGCTTGGAATTCAAAGACCCATAATTATGATGTGAGCTGGACAGGTCATTTAGTCTCCCATTTCTTCAGTATAAAATGAGGATAAGGTAATTTTTGGTCCCAAAACTTACCTCACTGGACTTTGGTTGTAAGGATCAAATGAGATAACATGTGTTATCGTGCTCTGTAACCTTTAAATTGCTCTACGGATATTATTTGTTTTTGTTAGAACTTGGGGGTTATAGAAAACAAGGATATGGTCTTCAGTAGTATTTAGCAGCAACAACAAAGTAGGCCATTAGACCAGTATTCGTTTGGTATAATCTTTGAGTCAACAATTCAATTAACCTTTTAAAAATGAGGTTCTTTTTCAAGAGTAGCTATGCCCTTAAACTGTGTTCGCTGTTTAATATATGTATACCCCAGAGCATGATCTCAAATTTATACAGTTAAATTTGTAGGTCACTCTCAATAGAAATTTGGGGATCTCCATTATATTTTTCTTTTGATATGGAATTATATAAATTGACTCCATTGAAACTTATAAGAAAAAAATATATAAACAGTATAGACCCTATAACTTTTTTTCCTTTGAGGACTTTCATGTGCCTAATTCTTTCTGATTAAGGACAAATTTTAAAAAGTTAATAACCATAACTTGATATTCATCATGGCAAAACTTTAAATTTTAAGTTGTAACATTATCTTAATTGTATGTTTGTATATATAATTTTTTAAACCTACATAAAGTAAGGATTTTGCCATTCTTTTCCACACATCAACACACAAAAGAGCATTTTTATGGAACCTAGATTTACAAAGGAATTCATGATTCTTCTAAACTTCTTTTATGCCTTTTCAGATTAAAATAAAAAGTGTTCGTATTCAATTCATTTGTTTCGCAGTAGCCGCATTTATACATTATTCTTATGTCATTTCTGTTTTATATGAAAAGAATTACATTGACATCTCTTCATAATTTAGTTTTTTTTGTTCCAGTGATATGAGAGGGAAAGGAATAGGAGGACTAAGCAACCTTACCCTTCATCTGACTGTACACAGTCTCCTGGGATTTTTTTCTAGTTTAATTTTAATCCTATATTTCTTTAATAGTCAAACTGATACAGGAGTATAATTTTCTCCCAAGATCCAAAATCTTCTAGGAAAGAAAATGTTACGGTCCACCTAAAACCAGCCATTTCTTAGACATTCCCATTTGGTTGATTTGCAGAGATTTAATATAATAAGTTAATAAGCATAGTACCTATTCCATGATTTCTAATTAGAAAATAAAATTTTGTTGCCATAAAGATAAAAGAAAGTAAAGTGTCACTTATATTTTAGTCAAATCCCACACCGGTACATTACTTACTACAAAAGAGAGTAGTTCATTCTTTTTAAATGCATTAAAGAATAGTTCCCTTTAGATTATCTTTTTTAAATGATCATTTATCTCAGGAAATCTATTGTGTCCTTTCTTGGACATTTTCATTGGTATGCTAGCATTGCTTTTAATTTATTCTCATTTTATTGGCTACTGTCACCAGTTTTCCCTGATAAATAAGTTTTTTACTTTGTAATAATTCAGAATTTGAAGATTCAGTGTTCTATTATGGTAATTACCATTTACTAGTGACTTTAGTATTTATAAGACAGTGATATTTTTAAGTTTGTTACTTTATCATATTTCCTGAAGTAGGGTGAACTACTTTATTGTTGTTGTTGTAGCAGCCCTAAGGTTTTTGTTATATAATAAGTCAGCTTGTATATATTGCTAACTTGCAAATATTTCTTTGCGTTGTGCTTATTGACTTAAAAGAAAAACTTTAGAGCTTCATAATTTCTGTTTTCTGAATTAGCAGATTTCTTTCCCTAATGCTTAGTAGAAATGCATTATGTTATTTTTTAAATACCACAGAATTTTGAGTCAGGAGACCTGATTTCTAGTATTGCCTCTGTTTTCAATGAGCTTTGTAACTTTGAAATTTTACCTCTTGGGACCTCAGGTTTTCTCATCTGTAAATGAAAGAAAACAAGGGGCTTAGATTAGGTGGTGTTTCAAATTCCACCTGCCTGTAATTTGGTTGTCCCTTACCATTTTGTAGTCATTATTCTGGCTTACTTTTATAAAGGTTAAAGAAATAAAAGTGAAAGAAAGGTTACAAATAATTGACATGACCTTTTTTTTTCCCATAGGAAAAGTCTCTTAAAGCACCAACATAAGCACCTTAAAACTGATATACAGGAGAAAAATGACATAAAATTTTGTGGTCTTTGTTCTCTTAAATATGAATGTAGCTAGTTAGCCTAAACTTTAAACAAAATGTATTCATGATAAAATTAGTGAACAAAGCAGTGACAGCGCTGGCCCATATAGCTAATTAAAAAGCTCTCAGGTTTTACCAACATTAAAATGATTATAAAATGTAAAAGTAATTTCAGAGGAGTGGATTGAAATTTTTCTGCTCAATACTTACTCTTACAAAATGTTCTTAGATTCATTGAATAAGTATAGTTGCCAGATTGCCATGAGCAATGTCCTGCTCTAAAATATTAGAGATAGATGTGGTTATTTTTAATTTTTTTTCTGGCTATGCGGAAGATGTTTTCATAAAGCCTTCTTAACTATCTAATAAGATGTAGAGATTCTGTTAGCACCATCTCTC